TATCTTACGTAATATTTCGTAATATCTTACGTAATATTTCGTAATTTTATATTTCGCAATATTTCGAAATATTTTACGTAATATTACGCCTTTTTTACGGGTCATAAATTATTTCATAATATTACACCCTATTAAATTTGCTGATGTGTAAGTGATTCATCAGGTTCCTCACGCACAGAATATGTATCATCATTATCTAACATATAGTTGGATACTGAAGAGCTCATTTGGATAGCTTTACCTATAATTATCTTTATCATATTCATTAGTAATCTTTTTATATGCACTATGTTGATTTGAAAGATTTACCTGTTAAATGGCGGCTACAGTATAAGGTATGTTAAACCTTCCTTACACTTATAATAGTTATTTAATTCGGCAAAACTTTAAGGGTAGCCCTTTTTTTTTTTAAGCTACAGGTGGACAACGTGACTATGTTTATAATAATGCTTGGGTTATAATCCGGTTAACAATGGTGAGCGAAAATGTTTATAAAATAAAAAAAACTCTTAACTGTCTGTTCAAAAAGTTCTATAATTTCCTTTATAGCGAAAGAGAAATCGATTTTTTAAAAAATTCAGTCCAAAAAAAAAATAAATCTAAATTTATATATTAAAAAGTATGAGGTTCTTACAAAACTTTTATTGCGACAAAGAAAAATACGTGATGAATTTTTCTACTTTTCTGATTACCATTTAATTTTAAATATTTCTGCAATTTTATTTTTAAACTTTATTTTTTGAACCGGTTGATAACTAGTTGATAATATAAATTGGTTGATCGATCATCTATTTACCAACCGGGTCACCCGCTACAAAGCAGGTCACTCGCTGCAAGGCGGGTCACCTGCTGAAAAGCAGGTGACCCATCTATTATTTTAAACCAGTTTGTTAAAAAAAAGATCCAGTTGATAAATTTCACAGGTCGGGTGATTGGGTACACGGTTACCTAGATTATAGTTTGGATCCCTAACTGGGGTTGTTGTGAACCTTGCAAGGGCAGGAGTATATAAGTGGGAACTAATTAGGAAGGTTGTGGCTTGAGATACGAACCAGGTTATGGCAGTATCTGAAACCAGTATTGTCACGTTACTATGTCCAAGCCTCCAAATGCTTGGACGTCCAAGATTGTCCAAGGCATCTCTAAGCTTTAATAATTATTGAATTTGTTTAAAAAATATATAATTATATATATTTTTAGGTGCTGATTATATTTTACTTAAGAAATAATATTGATTATCTTAATAAAATTTAGAGTAATTTTAATTTATTTTTTTGTCCAAAATTGTCCAAGCATGTCCAATGACAACCCTGTCTAGGCTAATAGATTTATTGTATGGATTTAATGTTATTAACTATTCTACTACAATAAATCAATTTTTGGAACATTAAAAGTTTATAAAGTTACGATTCTTTATTATTATTAACTGACAAGCCATTATTTTTCCTTTTTAACAAAATTTTCAAATCAAATGGTTTGAAGTTAAAGTTCAATTTTTTATTACAACAATTTTAAAAAGCAAAAAAAAACAAAAAAAAAACAAAAGAAAAATATAATACATAAACAATAAACGATGTTTAATATATATTTTTTTATATTATTGTTAGCAACTAGTTACACTAGGTATAAATTTGAAATTTTACTTTATTGATTTCGTTATACTGGATCATCTAGCCATATTTTCCAGATGCCGATAAAAATAATCTAGTTTTTTTACAGTTACAGTACACAAAAAACGTATGGTTTTTATATGGCTTAAAACTGTATAAAAAATATATACATTCCTTGAATAGTGTTGTATTCTATTGAATGAATGTTTAGATATTTAAAATCATGATATTTTTTTTTCAGTTCTTTATTGATTACATTTATCTATTTACAGCAGCTAAATAATATTCTGTAAGTAATAAAAACATTCTGAAATTGTAATCAATAAATCTATTTTATTTATGATATCTAGAAGGAACAAAAGGCATCTTTACAACTTTAGCATCCTGCAATTTATTCCTAACTTTAACTTTAAGCAAAGTCCCACTCTTGTGATATCCAGATTTTACATATCCCATTGCAATATTTTTATTTAACGTTGGTGACGGGCCTCCACTTGTTACTTTGCCTAATTTTCACAACATAAAAAATATCAAATCTAGGAAATTTATAAATAATTAATTACAATTATAGAAAAACAAACCTACCGATTAATTCATCAGAAGAATTATAAATTTCTGATTTTTCTGTAAAAAAAAAAAAAAAAAAAAGAAAAAATTGTATGAAAATGTAAGATAAACAATAATAACTTAATTAATAGTACCTCTTGCAGGTGCACCCTCAATAATAAGACCAACACGACGACGCGCCACACCACCTTTAAGTTGAGAGAGAATTCGATCAGCGCCTAAAAAACCACCTTCTACTCTACGACGTTTCCCTATTTAGGTTTTAATTAAACAAATGATGATGAAATATTTGAAAAATATGCTGACATAATAAATATGGAAAATACCGATTGTCCAGGATAATCCGGCTTCCGCAGGTGTTATTGAATCATCAAGGTCATGACCATACAGACATAAGCCAGCTTCGAGGCGTAAACTGTCACGCGCACCAAGTCCAGCCAAATGTACACTTGGATAACCTAACATTAACTTTGCTAGCCGTTGAGAACTTGTTCCAATAACGGATATCTACATGATCAAAATATCAAAATTGTAACAAAAAAACAATAGAACAATCAAACAATAATACAATACAATATACTGTATTAAGTTAATTATAACAAAAAAATCTATACTAATAAAAAATATTTTATATATATATATATATATATATCTTTTGAAAAATAGCTATTTTTGTTACTTTGATCATTATTTAAAGCTTCTTGTTTTCTAGATTAAAAGAATATAAAAATAAGTATTTTATATAATTTTGCTTTAGGTTGTTTGATATACCTATTAATAATATGGATATTAGTATTGTTTATATTATATTGTATTTTTTCTTTGCTTTTGTTTAAAAAACAAATTTTTGAATTATAGTTTTTTTAAAACCTATTATATATTATAGATGATAAATTGCTCAAGTACAAAGAATATATAGAATATCAAGATTTTGATTTTAATTATGAAATATTAAATAATAATAAAAGTTATATCAAAAATATATCTGAAATACCATTATCTTCAAAAATCACAACTGATGAAAGTATAACAAACAATAAGTATAATGATAACTTTATTTTTGATAAAGAAGCATTAAATTATACAAAAAATTTTATAGCATCTTTTATTTAAAAATTTAAAACAAGATGAAAAAGAGATTAATTAGTTAATATTAAATGATAACTTGTAATCAAAAGTTAAATCTATTTGAACCCTGCCAATAAATAATAATAATATACTTAATTATAAAATAGCAAATACAAATAATCTAAACAAAAGTAATAAATATTATAATTGATTCTGCTAAAAGATATCTTCAATATTGTTTAAATATTGTATACAAACTATTTAAACAGCTTGTAAAAGTTTGAAAATTAAATTATCAGATTATAGATGATTGTATATCAGAATCCCAAAACACAAAATCCCAATACTCAAAACCCGGCAACAAAATCCCAACACACAAAATCCTAACAAATTAAAATTCTAAAAATATTAAAATTAGGATTTTAATTTGTTGAGATTTTGTGTATTGGGATTTTGTTGCTGAGATTTTGTGTATTGGAATTTTATATGTCAGAATTCTGATATACAACTATTATAGGTATAGCAATTAAAGCCAGAACAAACAATGCAATTAATAATTTAAGTATTTGCACTAGTCATTATACTTTTAACCAGAATAAACTTTATTTAGCTAAATCAAAGCAAAATATTTTAATTGAAAAAGGTTGGATTTATAGGCAGAAATATATATTCTGCAGTTTTGATAAATATTTTTTTAGTCAAGAAAGATACTATATACAATATTTATAAAATATATTGAGGTAAAATATTTGTATTCTTTGTGCTAGATTAAAAGTTTGTTCTGCATTTATTGTAAAAGATAATGAATTTATCCAATCACCTACAAGTTAAAAGTAATTAAAATTTATTTGCTCTTGCTATTTTATTAATAAAGGTAAATATTTTTTTTAAAGAAAAAAAAGAGAGCTACAGTATTATAATTTTTTTTTTTTTTTTTTTTTTTTTAAATATTAAGGTGACGGCAAGAAAAGGTAAGTAAATTATGAAAAAAATAAGATAAATAAATAAATAAATAAAATCAAGACTCATCTCATTTCTTTTTTTCTGTAGATTCGGAATTGGAGCAGTAAACCACCAGAATCAAAGGCAAGGTAAATAAATTATAAGGTAGATAAATAAATAGATAATTTTAAAAAAAAATAAGAACTCACTTTCAAATTCTTCTTTTAAGGTCCGGAATCAGAATGATGATGAAAAGGTAAATAAATTATGAAAATAAGTAAATAAAATGAAGACTCACCTTATTTCTTTCTTTTGTAGGTCAAATCGAAACGATAATTGATAACTGGAATCGAGGAGACTCACCTCTTAAATTCTTCTTTTTGTAAGGCCGGAATTGGAACGACGAATAGTAATGGCAAGAATAGGTAGGTTAATTACGAATAAACAAATAAATAAAGTGAAAACTCACCTTATTTCTTTTTTTTGTAGGTTCAGAATTGGAATGATAAATGACTACTAAAATAGAGAATTAAGATAGGGATTGAAACCATTGGTTTAGAATTTTATACGATTAATCACGATTAATCGTATAAAATTTTAAAATGATTAAGCAAATAATTTAACGGTTTTTAATCGTTTATTAAAACCTTTACTCGTTTCCGATAAAAGATATAAGCGATTAATCGCGGTTAAACGAATAACAGTTCCAATCCCTAGAAAAAGTGATTTTCTTAAAAGTGAAAGTATCATATTTCTAAATACAACCAGAAATATACGTATATACATAAAGTATATTAGTCACTGATCTTAAATTTACCAACTGGGTCACCCGTTGTAAAATGGGCCACCCGCTTATTATCATGTTACTCGTTGTAACACAGGCTACCTGTTTATTATCATATTACCTATTGTAAAACGGGTCACCTGGTTTGTCAAAAAAATAATCCGGTTGGCAAATTTTACGTTCGGGTCATCAGATACACGGTTATCCAGGTTATAGTTGGGATCCCTAATAGATATATAAAAACAATTTCAGTTAGTTTTGGTTATATAGTTGTTGTAATATTGCTAGTGCTATTTTAGATGCTATTAAAATCTGTAGCCTTGTGTTAAACTATACAAAAAAATATTAATTCTAATAAGTTTTTAAAAATAACTACATCTTGACTTTTTAATTTTTATTTTTTTTTTAATATTTAAAGTAAGACCATGCTCTTATCTTTATTAAGCTTAATAAAAACTTTTACAGAATTGAAAAAGATTTTATATTTTAAGTCTATTATTAAGAATAAAAACTTAGATATATAATCAAGAGCCTAAGCTAGATATACTTAGAAACTTATCTGTAGCCTAAACTTACCAAAGTGGCCAAGGCTTACTTAGATTTAAGGTAAGTTAAGTATTTAAGATGAATGTATGTGATTGCTAATCTAGTTAAAATACCAAATTGTTATTTTAGATGAGGGTATTAGTGAAAAAGTTAAGGAAGTATTTGTAATAGGATTTGGATTGCTTGTTAAGCTTGGTTGAAATTCAAAGAGTTGGGGCTAGGTCTTGAGCTGCAATAGGGAATCCAAAGATTTTTTTTTTTTTAAATATTAAGGTAACTACTTAGGCTTCTAGCATGTAGCTTTATTTGGATAGTTACGATATTATATCAAATTTATGAGGATACAACTAGCTACACATGTACTTTTAGTATCTAATTTAAGTAGTCTGCCTGGGTTTTACACTAGCTACCATACTTGCAATCTAACTAGAAGATTACTTATTTAAGCTCTCTGATTATTACTAATGAGAGTACAACTAGCCATATATGCAACTTTTAGTTATCTATTTAAGTAGTCTGCACTAGGTTCTACACTAGCTACCGTACTTGTACCCCAACTATGGGGGATACCTATTTAAACCCTCTGGCTCCATCTCTATAACATGTCTACTCTAATACTCTATTAAATCTAAAGATTTGTATATAGCTACTTATTGATATACAAAAAAAATTTTATAGTAAGATCATTAGCTATCTGATTAGAGATAATGAATTCACAAATTGTATTTATTATATCAAGTGTAATAGGTCCAAAGAGAGTAGAAAAAATAGAAGATTTATATAAGAAATAATGAATTTGAAGGCTATCAAGGTTGATGATTTGTTTATATAGCTAGTTAATTATATTAGAGAAATTTGAAGTTTGTTGAAATTTAATATATATTGTAGTGAATTCTGAATAAGTTTATAAAGAAAGTTAAAGGTAGAGTATATAGCTTAGTAAAGTGAAGTATTTGTTGATTGGCATATATAGCAAGTATTAGAGAAATAAGAGTTTCTTTTTGTATAGGGTATGTAGTACTAGAAGTTTATTAATAAGTAACTTGATTTAAAATATTTTAAGTATAGAGGACTAGAAGTTGTAAGCAAAATTAGAAACTTTTTGGTTATCATTAATGTAAAGCCAGATTAAATTCTAGTTGATATATTGAAAAATATTTAGCCATAATTAGAAGTGATTGTAAGATAACTAGAGAGCAAAGATATTTGTATAACAGATAGTTTGAATGCTGTGATGAATAGGGAATTTAAGAGGTTGTTTATTATAATTTAATATATATAGAGAGTTGTAAATATTGTTGGGATTAAATTTAAGAAAGAGTGTAATAAGATAGTTATGAGCAAGTTTATCAGCCTTGTTGTTGAATTCATTGTTATGATATGTTTTAACTTTGTAAAAAGTAATTTTTAAATTGTAAGATTTAGTAAAGTTAAAAAGTATATTTCAAATAGACTAGTAAGAAGTGTTTAGAGGCTAAGAGTTGGTTGTTTGTTGGGTTAGACTATTATATTTAGCAATTACTAATTAAGAGTTTGTAAAAATTTAAATATTGTAGCTTCTAGAAGTGATACAAATAGCTAATAAGATTGCAAGTAGTTCAGCTTTAAAAGAACAAGGCCAGAGTAAGATTTGTATCTAAAATATATAGAAGATTTTGTTGTTCTCGTCTTGTATTTAGCTAATGCTTATAAAGTATTAGGAATTGTCTAAGTTAATCACAGATCTATTTGTATAAAATATAAAGTATAAGAAGTGAAAATTGAAGTTTGCAATATGTTAAAGAGTATTAAAAGCAAAGTTATTTACAAAGATTGAGAGAATTTGAGAAATAAGTATTGGAAGGTTTGGAAGTGCTAAGATTTAAGTAGTCTTTTTAAGTTTGATTAAATCTAAGAAATTAAGAGAGTTTACATTAAAATTGATAGATTTGTCTGGGTTTAGTTTGCTTAAGAACTTGGTAGTATGACTAGTTAAGATAAAAAAAGTACATTTGCCATTGATAATATGAGAATTAAGTGAGCAATTAGAATATAAGCTTGAAATAATATTAGAAATAGGGTATATTGAAGAAGAAATAGTTGAGAGATTGCATTGTCAATATGTAATTAATATAAAGCTAGAGTT